CCTACAGTATGTTAGGAATAAAAAGGCACATTGCAAAATGAAATAGTATAATTTTTATCTAGGAATGCTTATTAGAATTCTTATTTATAACTTCATTAGATCATGCTTTTATTTAATCTATTTTTTATTTTATACTCTTCCTAAGAAATTGGATTTCTCTCTAAATATCTAATATACTTAACAGACCCTTATATATTTTGTTCCAATATATTTTATTGAGTCCAAAAGTAAAATATTGGTACAGGGGATATTGCAGTGTAAGAAATCATCTCAAAGCTTAGAGGCTTAAACTAATGACTTATTTTTTTTGTAGTTTTATGGGTTGACAGGGGTCAGTTGGATGGTTCTCATTTGGAATCTTTGGAAGTTATAATTAGGTGTTAACCAGGATTTTAGTCACCTAAAGGTTCAGCTGGGCAGTATGTCTGTTGACATCCATTTGATGCTGCTATTGAGTAAACTGATTATCAGTTAGTTGGAGCTGCTCATTACAGCACTGATACATGAACTTTTCAAGTGTTCTCAGCTTCTTATCATGGTACTTGAGTTATGAAACGTAAGCTCTTTAAAAAAAATTCTTGGTTGAGGTTCTTTGATTTATAAACAGTATAATAATTATTTATACTGGTTGTCTGAGTGAGTGGTATATCCAACACACACACTGAACAAAACTGAAAATAGGAGATATAAGTTGCAACCACTGAAACTTTGTAATATGCCTGTCAAGTTGGCAGGCAGGGATGAGGTGGGGGTTGAGATGGGGAGGGAATACATGAACACTAGTGGAGGAAGTTGACACTGCTGGTGAAATATTATATGCCTAAAACTTAACTATCAAAAATTTTAAAATAACACTTCTTTAATCCAGTTTTTTAAAAAATGGTTTCTCATGCACCTAATTACAGCACCATACCCATTACGAGGGTACCCCTTCCTTTTCCAAGGACTTCAACATCCCTTCCTCCAAATATTTTCCACCCAGCTCATTTGTGTGGATCAGCTCTCCCATTATGTTGCCTTTGGATCTTTGTTGCTTTGATATATATCTTTAAGTTCCACGCATGAGACATCATTCTGTGTCTATCCCTTTCCTCCAAACTAACTTCATTCAGCATGATATCTCCAGTTCCCTACATGTCACAGAAATTTCATGATTTTGTTCTTTTAGAGCTGGAGTGTTAGCACAGTGGGTAGGGCATTTGCCTTGCATATGGCCGACCCGGGTTCAATTCCTCTGTCCCTCTTGGAGAGCCTGGCAAGCTACCAAGAGTATCCTGCCCACAAGACAGAGCCTGACAAGCTCCCCATGGTGTATTCGATATGGCAAAAACAGTAACAACAAGTCTCACAATGGAGATGTTACTGGTGCCCGCTCGAGCAAATCAATGAACAGCTGAAGGACAGTGCTACCTCTCAAATAGTTGGCTGCCATTGTTTAGAATCTTGCTTATGGATCCATTTTAATCCAGATAGTCGACTCATCGATGTATTATTTTCAGATCAGGAATTTTATTTTTTTATTTCTGGTGTCTATGTACCCAGACTGAAGGCAGTTATTGCAAGTATTCTTTTGAAATTATGTAATTCCCTGTTATTTTCCCCTCAGAGGAATTGTTGATCCTTCAGACACTATAGTCAGATATTTTTCATTTTTCTTCATCCTTCTTAAATTTTGCTGTTCAATTGACATAGCAAAAAGTGGGCTTTTGAAATCTATTTGAATATTTCATTAGTTTTTAACATTCTTTCTTAGAATTGTAAGTTCAAGTTACTGAGTACCAACTTTCATTGACTGCAAAATGAATACAGTTCGATACTACTTATATGTCCACTTTTTGTCAGTAAAGGAGAATGAAAATAATAAGAAATGATTTATAAAATCTGTTGCTTTCTAGAATACAGAACTTTAAAAGTAATTTCTCTGTAGCCTATAACTATCCTTGACTGTGGGATTCATTTATATTTGATACAGTGTGATTAAGTTTTAAAAATCATGCCAGTTTACCAGTAAGTTGACCCTGAATTACCATTGTAATTAAATATTCAAAATAATTAATAGATACTTGGATTCTATCTTCAGAAAAGTCAGAACTTATGATTAATAACTTAAAAAGTTCATAAAGTTTTCTGTGAATAATTTGATTTTTTTCATTTGGATTTAGACAAGGTTCCAATGTAATTTCACATTTTTAAGACAATTGTTGTAAAGTGGCATTTTTTTCCTGCAAAAACCTAGAGATTGTATTTGTTGTTTGAATACGATTTTGTATTTTGCTGAAATGTGTAGACGCTGATGGTGAGCTTTTTTTTCCCTTTTTCCATAGGAAAGGCCATTTGTTTTTCTGCCAGGGAAAGCTTGGGAGAGTATATATTTTTAAAACTTTAGCTCTTGGAGTCTTTTTATGTGAAACCCTTATCCCTCAAGGCTACCAATAAACATTATGTTAATTTTTTTATGTTTCTCTTGTCCTTTAAAAATTGCTGAAAGAAATCATAATTACATTCCAGATGCATGCCCTTTGGGGGCTGAATGTTAACGAATGAGAGAACATGTGTAAAATTCATGGCCTGTTCATTGCCTGACAATAAATATAAACATTGGTCATTAAGTCTACAATAAATTGTTTCCCAAATGATGAAATGACTGCTTCTAGTTGCACTGATAGGCTTTGAAATGCATATCATCCAGGATGAAATTGCCTGTTTTCTACCCTTTTCAGAACATCTTCAATATAGTTCTTAATGGTTTACAAAAGTTTTAACACATCCATCAACCTGTCATTTTATTTTCTGTCAAACTTAATGGAAAAAATTTCACATGATTCACCTTTACTTAATGCTACCTTTATTTAATGCTATGAAAAGTATGAAGTTTGCAAACATGCAAAATTGTAGGATATATTTTTATAATGCAATCGCCTTGACTTAAATGGTTATTTCCTAATGCCATTCAACATCACAGGCTCAGCTGGCTTAACTTTTGACTTATGTCAGAGTAAGAGCATGTAAAAAAAAATGAAGCACTTAATTGAAATTTCACAGTGATTTCCACATAAACCAGCTTAAACAAGATGTATTTATGTATAGCAATCAAGATTGACTAATCTCCTGTGTAAATATATGTGTGTCAAAGAGGTTATTTAAAGTGGTAAAGAAATTCTACACAATAGAACCTTAAGCCTAATCATGTAATTCTTTAGCTAAAACTGCTTATTACTGTAGATAGGAAGTCATTTTGATAATAGCTTTTTGTTTTTGCAAAGATAGGGCAATATATAGCAGTGTAACAAACTAATTTTTTTTTTTCGAGAGGTGCATATCTGGTTAAATTTAACACTAGGATCATATATCTCAAAACCCAATTTAACACAAACAAACTTAATTGGTCACTTCTCTCAAATGAATGATCCATTTGAGCTCCAAAGTGAATCTCTTTTTCTTGCTTTATTTAGTTATCATATTTTTTTAAAAAAAATCCCGGTGAAAGAGCTAACAACATTAATATTGACAACTTTGCATTAAATCAGAGAAGAAATGAGATTTATTTCTTATTTTCCATTTGGAGGCATTAAGGGTCCAGAGATTATAAAATCACTACTTGGTAATGTGCTTATTTTGAAGATACTATTGAAAAAATATACTTGCTTATTTGTTAGTTATAAATACAAGTCAGACATTGTTGCATTCTTGTATTTGCATCAAAATTCAACTTGTAGGCTAGGGGGAATAATTACCATTCATTGTGAAAGGAAGAATATTGAAAGTATTTTCAAGTAATTGCTTTAATTTCAAGATAATTTATTTGGGGGGATACTGTGCTTCAGGATATGTCAGGAAGGGGAAGGGATTAATTTCTGTTCATCATTACTAAGAAGATCAGAAGTTTCTTATTTTATGCTTTTGAAGATCATTCATTCATTTATTGAAAATTTGCTGACTATTTGGAATGGACCACGTGCTCAGCTTGGTATGCCATGATAAAAGGAAGTTATCTATCTTCAGGAACCTTACCCTTATTTCTGTTGTGTGAAACCATGCTGCATTAAAAAATATGGTGTAGTTAGGCACATCATCGAAGCCTGAAACCTGACAAGGTGCTCAGTAGAGAAGATTTGTAATTAATATTCTGTAATATCATTTACAACTGTTTTTCTTCAACTCATGACAAATTTAAATTTTCATCAATTTTCCAGACCAGTAATAATTGCATAGTTTAATAAAATAAACAAAATAAAGTGAGCTAGATTTCTCTTGAGACAATATCATTATCTTAAAAACTATTCTTAAAAAGTTTGAAGCATGTAGACATGATTATAAATACCACTTTGATTTTACCACTTTTTGTTATGAAATTGCTTAGCAAACTATTACCAGTTTTGTTATTGATTCTGGGATATAAACTGGTACATACACATCTATACCAAAGAATCTTCTGAAAATAAAGTCAAGTAACTTAATCTTTTAAAATTAAGCACAAAATATTTAAATGGTTTAATTGATAAGTGATGTATACCATTGATGTGATAATTTAATGCCATGCTTTTATTTAAATTTAAAATAATTTACATTAATAATATAGTTACCCGGTCTAGCTGATCATAGTCCAAATAATCAGCTGTTGCATGTTCCCACAGCAATGTAGGATATTACATAAATGTACATAGGACATTTTAGTCATTATAAATGACACTTTTGGACTGTCTTGCTCTAGGAAATGTTTATTTTTTTTGTAATATGACCACACAGAAAATGAATTAGCAAGAGTGGTTTTGATCCATTTGACTCTTTTCACAATTTCCAAATCTTGATGAAATTATTTGACAAGCTCTTTCACAAATGAAAGCTATTTTCAATTGACTTTAGTATTAGTAACGATTGTACCTCAGTAAGCCGAGGCTAAGAAAATGGAATGTTTTTATCCAGCCCCTTTTGAGAAACTGGAGTTTTGAATATTGTCTGAAAGAACTGATTAATCAATGAGATCAATGCTTTCTCTGCAGTGCCGTCCAAACCTTTTTTCCTGAGCGCCCCAACATTCTACCCCGAGTGCTGCGGTGGGTCCTGCCGGCACCCTGCGTCTCCCTCTGCTTTCCCAAGTAAGTTTTTATGCTTCATCAGCAATGCCTCAGTTATTCTGTAAACCAAAGCAGCAGGATTTAATGTGCTCTGGCAAACTAATTGGTAATGCAATCGCGAGGAGCTAATTCCTCACTAAAAAATCACAGGGATCCTATTCAGGAAGGTTCCAGAGATTTATCAAACCACAGCACACTGAGCAATTGTGAGCAGTTTCTAATGGCATTGAAACCCAGGGCTGACACTCCAAGGAAAGAGACTTGTTTTCCATTTGATATAAAAAAATCTCAGAAGGGCCAGTTTGGCTCATTTAAAAGCATGTAGCAACACTCATTTAAAGAAGAAAAAAGAAAGAAAGGTTAAGAATTGTGCTTTGTAAAATTTGCAACCAGTTTAAAATGTGACTTAAAAAGTCTCTGTGTCCGTAGAAAATAATTAGAAATTGCCGAAATTGTTCAAAGGAGACAAATGCATCTTCATTTTATGGTGTCGAATATGTATCAGCCAGAATTGTAGGAAATGTTCTAAATATAACATTTTAAACATTTTACAAGGTTTTGTGTTTTGGGGATAGAATGAAAATAGAAAACCTTCCAAAACGCTTGAGAGCATGTACTGTTACATTTCTCTCTCTCTCTCTCTCTCTCTCTCTCTCTCTCTCTCTCTCTCTCTCTCTCTCTCTCTCTCTCCCTCTCCCTCTCTCTGTCTTTCTCTCTGTGTGTGTCTCTCTCTCAAGGAAAAATATGTCCCACTGAAAACAAATAAAATTCACCTTGGTCTTGAGACTTCTAGGTCACATCATAATCTGTAGGTAGAGATCTGAGTCTCTGATAAAGAATTCCAGAGGAGGGGTACATTTATTTTAGCTGCCAAAGAGAAAATGTTTTCTCGGGTTAACAGTTTTGTCTGGTGAAAGTGAAGTAGGAGTTTGAGCCAGGTTAAAGTTCTGAGCTTCATCACGTTGAATTCAGATTCCTTCTGCCTCTCTGTCTATGTTGTATGAATGTTTCAGGAACGCAATTGCTCAACAGATGACTCCTGACAAGTGAGGCAGCAAATGCTGTCCCTTTAATGAGCTGCAGGCTTCTGAGCCTCTCTTTAGGGGGCTGATACTTTCCCACAGAGACTTCACATGGCAGGGACCCCGCCACAATGGGTAACAGACCCGTGACCAATTGCCACTTTCACTTGGCTCATCCACACGCGACCTCACCACGATTTTTCACTGTGCAGATGAACTTTAGGAATCATTTCACACGGAAAAGGCTTGGGCAAGGGTCAGTTGTCCTTTTATATGGTCATAAAGCAGGCTCTGTGTGTCGGTCTTTTCTCCTGTCTCACATTCCGAGTGAATTTCTGGACACCATTTAACGCACTTGACAGAAAATAAAGCAGTGAATAAAACTGACTTTTATAGACTCATTCTAGCTCATCTTCCCATATAACCCCATCCACCTGAAAGGGGATTTAGTGGGTGAGCTGAGTGTATCAGGGACTTGCTGAATACACAGGACCCATTATCAACTGTGGGGATTGTTTATTAACCAGGACTGATACACTACTATTTTGGAGGTGACCTATTAATTGTCCATTTAACTAGAATCTATTGAATTCAAATAGAAAAATGGAACCCATGACTAAACCTTTTTCTCGGTCCTTCAAGGTGGTCTGCTATGAGGGCAATTCAAAACTGTTGTGCAAATTAAGGAGACATTTATCATCATATATTAGAGTATCAGGACACTGCTGGAAGAGTTACACTACAAATATCTGATTTAAGGCCAAAGTGGCATCTCTATGAAGTTGAATATTTAGTGTTAAATATTTGGGAGGAAAGATTAAAAGAGAATATTCATCTAAGTTAGTTATTTTCCCCTTGAATATAATGCTGGTATTTAAAAAAAAATTTTACCAATGCAGTTTAGGTAAGTGGAAATGAAATGAACCCCAAGATGCCATGTAACACAGGTAGATATTCACATTTTATGCGAGTGTATGCATATTTATTTTATGGTGATATTTTAATGAGTCTTTAAGCCACAAAAGTAAAAAAATAAAGTTAAATGGAAGACATAAAAGAATTTTGAAGATGTTTTCTAGACAACTTTATCTTCTGATTGCTTGGAAATTTACTATAATTTCCCTTCATACGCTTCTTTATTGTTCGCTTTCATACTTTTTTTTCATCTGTTTTTTTTTTTTTTTTGGTGGGGGCCACTCATGGCAGTGCATGGCATCACTCCTGGCTCTGAACTCAGGAGTTGCTCCTGGCAGACCTGGGGACATCATGAGGTGTTGGTATAGGGATCAAACCCAGGTCTGCTGCGTGCAAAGCAAGCACCATTCCCTCTGTATTGTCTCTCGGGCCCCTCCCTCTTTATTCTTTTAGAATAAATATTGAAGTTTTCTTTATTTTAAAATTAGGTAAGGTAAAGGTAAAGGCCCTCCCGTTGATCGTCGATTTGCTCGAGCGGGCCCAGTAACGTCTCCATTGGAGACTTTGTTGTTACTGTGTTTGGCATATCGAATACTCTCGGTAGCTTGCCGGGCTCTCCGAGAGGGGCGGAGGAATCGAACTTGGGTCGGCCATGTTGGCCGCTTGTAAGGCAAATGCCCTACCGCTGTGCTATGACTCCAGCCCATTTTAAAATTAATTTGAATGATTCCTTTTGCTTAGATTTTTTGGGGGGGCTGCACTGGTGGTACTCAGGAATTACTCCTGGTTCTACTCCAAAATCACTTGATGGGCTCAGAGGGCCATATAGGATGCTGAGAAGTTGGGTGGGCCATGTGCAAGAAAACCACCCTATCCACTATGCTATCCCTCTATGCTATCTCTCTGTCCCAAATAATTGGAATGATTTTTGTTTGTTTGCTTTGGGCCATGGCTGGAGCAATAGCACAGCGGGTAGGGTGTTTGCCTTACACGTGGCGACACTGCCGATCTGAGTTCCATTCCTCCACCCCTCTCGGAGAGCCCAGCAAACTACCAAGAGTATCTCGCCCACACAGCAAAGCCTGGCAAGCTACCTGTGATGTATTCCATATGTCAAAACACAGTAACAAGTCTCACAACGTTACTGGGCCCGCTCAAGCAAATCGATGAACAACGGGAGGACAGTGACAGTGACATTGACAGTTTTTGGGCCATATCTGGCGCCACTCAGAGGTTGATCCTGGCTCTGCACTCAGGAATTATTGCTGGCAGTGCTCAGGGGACCATATAAAATTCTGGGGAACTGAACCCAGGTTGGCTGCATGAAAGGTAGACGTGCCACCTAGTGCCTTACCTACTCCCTACTCTCTGAGCTCTTTGAATGATTCTTATATCCAAGCATTTGCTTTTGTTTCTACCACTACATCACAAATCACAAATCACAAATCACCCTGTTAATCGTCGATTGCCTCGAGCAGGCCCCAGTAACGTCTCCTTCATCCTAGCCCTGAGATTATATTCAAGGCTCTTTAGGAGAATGAGACCCATCATTATTACTGGTATTTGGCATATTGGGTATGCCACGGGGAGTTTGCCAGACTCTGCCGTGTGGGCAGGCTACATTCGGTAGCCTGCCAGTTTGTCCAAAGTAGGAATGAGATAATAAGATGTCATAAAAGAAAGAAAATGAGTGGTTCAAGTAGTCTTCTGAATTTCAGTTCAAATAGCAAAGACTTAAAACTATACTTAAAATTTAAGCAGGCAATGAATAACTGTTCCTTATCATTTTGCAATAGTGTTTTCACACCAAAGTGTAGGACCAGATATATATGTCCACAGTGAAGCAAGTGTAGTATTATTTTTGCTTTATTGTTGTGATTTATTTGTTTCAAATTGACTTAGTTTTTTTTGAAACTTTTGAGTTTATGATTGACTTGTTTTTGCAATGTGGAAAACCATTTGTCCAGTGCTTTCCTTACATATAATAAGTAGTTTAAAAGGCCCTCCCGTTGATCATCAATTTGCTCGAGCAGGCCCAGTAACGTCTCCATTGGAGACTTTGTTGTTACTGTGTCTGGCATATCGAATACGTCACGGGGAGCTTGCCGGGCTCTGCCGTGTGGGCGAGATACTCTCAGTAGCTTGCCGGGCTCACCGAGAGGGGCGGAGGAATCGAACTCGGGTCGGCCATGTTGGCCGCGTGTAAGGCGAACGCCCTACGGCTATTTTACCTTTACAGTGGGTAAAAATGAAAAAGTAGTGAATAACTTCTTTCATCTTCCAGAACAGTGTAAGGAAATTCCTTGATATTACATACATGAGGTTCTTTTTTTAAAATAACCCACTTCTAAATGAAATCAAAACTTGTGGAAATTATGTAGAAAATTACTTTTAAAAAACTGCCTGAGAAAGCATGGGAGTCTTAATTATGTATATGAGGTAATTGAATTAATTGGGTAATTATTTTTTTTTGTCTTTAGTGTGTCCAACTTAAATTTGACCTTTTGAGAACTTTTTACTTTAAAAGACAAAGTTTAAATTTAGGGCAGCATTATAAAAATATGAGCAGGGAATGGAATTTGCATTCTACATTTTCAGATCATATTCTCTTAAGTTTAAAAGAACTTGAACCTAGGATTTTGTTGAAAGCAGTAGGAAAGAGACATTATGTTTATTATTGTGAATGTAGTCTAGTTCTGTGAGTGTCATTGTCAAAGATGGGAAATGCTGATTAGTATTCTCGCCACCTACCTGGTAATGTTCTCTTTTACGGCTCGCAGCTGGAGGGGTGAGTGAACTGAGCTAATTGACCAGGCAAGGCCTGGGTTTATTTTCAAAATGATGCAGCGTTTGTTTGAGTATAGAGAAGAAAACCCAATAATTTTGTCAAATCATTATCAGCTCTGTGAAACTAAGTTTTAGTGCAGCAAGTAGCCATATAGATTTTGATTTCTCAACAGTGAAGTAAGTAAGGGGTGTTTTGTTGACAGATGACATTTGGTCAATTAGGAACAAAGTTCAAGGAGTCAGAGACTCAGAATAGATTTTCCAAGTTGATGGCTCTATTCAACTGTTGAGGCAAGG